AGGCATTATGCATGTGTATATCTATCTCTCTTATTTTCATCCACTCTTTTTGCCGTGTCTGTGTGCGGGTGTGTGTTATTGTACTAACAATTTCTTTTCATAAACGTGTGTGTCGCATGCAAATTTATTGTGTACTTTGCAGCGACATTTTCATTTTGACTTTGCTTCTGCCTTTACTTTGGATTTTTGATAGGGATTTCCAATTTCCATTGGCATGTGGAAGGGTGGCAGGCGGGTAGCTTTGGGGTATTGGGATTTGGGTGCCAAGGTTTCTGGGCTTCCAACTGTGTTTTGTCCATTTGTGTGTGTGTGTGTGTGTGTGATTTTAATGCCAGGGTGTCATTAGCATCACATTTGTTGTGCCCGCCCTTTGAGGTAGGCTTTAAAAATCTAAGGTATCGATTCCGCAAGCAATTCACTGTCGACATTTAACAGTATAGATCGATTTTTAGTTTGGGTAAATAAAAGAGGATAACTTATAACAGACTGTTGATTTAATTGGAATATATACTGTTTATTATTATATTACCAGATATTCGCACAATTTCATGATAACGTGTTTATCTCTTAAATAAAATATGATTTTCCACATAATCACAAGTACTAATATTGTGTCATGTATGATTTGTGGATTTCCTTTTTTTTACCAAAAACAAACAAGTTTCTATTTTATACAGAAAGCGTGCCAGCATGAGGTTTTGCCCAAAATCGTACTACATTTTTAAATCTTTCGTTAAAGCTCCATTGAGGACTGTTAATGTTCGTTATGGGACACCGAATTTCGGTCTTATTTATTTATTTTGCCAGTTAAGAATTTAAGTGCCAACAAATGCGACTATGACCAATAAATTACAATCACATAGCAAATAAATAAAGCAACAATAACAACAACTTAAATAGCAGAAAATTACCCTCAGAAATGATATCATTGAACAGATGAAAAGTGTCAGAGCAAATAAAACAGCTTAAGTGTTGATATTAATTAAGTGGCATTAACTGCCGCCCATTTGAAATCCGACGAGGACAAACTGAACCCGCAATCTGACACCACTCACCATCAGACACAATAAAATCAAAAACTACAACATGTAGCACAATTTCAATTAAAATGACATTTTATTAGATTTAATTGACAATTTTTTTCATTTCTTTTTTTGTACTTTTTTAACTGCACTTTCAGTATATATGTACAACCAAGTATGTGTTTTTTATATATATTTTTTTATACCCTGAATGCATTGAAAATGGGTAAAAAGGGTATTATGTATTTGTGCAAATGTATGTAACAGGCAGAAGGAAGCATCTCCGATCCCATAAAGTATATATATTCTCGATCAGCATCAATAACCAAATCGATCCATGTTCGTCTGTCTGTCTACCTGTCCGTCTGTCCGTATGTAAGAGCTAGAGACTGAACACTTAGCTGTGGGTCCTCCTAGTGCCTGCGCAGATCGAAGTTGTTTCCGATAATCGATAACTTACTCCGTTTCCAAGCAAACGATACAAATCGATATCGACATCCTGTTTTTTCAGCAAGTTATGTAAATATTAAGAGCTAGAGTCACCAAACTTGATATGTTTATTTTAGAATAGTATATATATATATGTATGTCAAGTATCTTTCATTCTAAAGCTATCGTAACCTCCCCGTTACCAACGCAGAGCTATAAATCAAGTTAATAACCCAACCTATATTTCCCACCAATTTAAGCCACAATTTCGATTAAATTGACTTTTTGATAATACACAAATATTCTATGGTACAATAAGATGCCTGCCCACGTGTTGAGTAGAGGCCGTGATAAGTGGTGTGATCAGTTGCGAGTTCGAACCCTGCCAAGGGAACTTTATATTTTAATTTATCTTTATTACTTCAAACGAGCTCGTTGCGCGAACTGAAATTGGTGTTGGAATAAGAGGCTTCCGGGTATGCCCTATTCGGGAGCTACCGACTAGAACATCTTACCTTTATCTTTCTATCTCACTATTTCCTCACCGGTTGCTGCATTCTCTGCCCAAGGCCCACCCCAGATGCTGTTTGTTACCATATTTTTAATTTCCGATACCAAGTAGACAATTAACTTTCTTTACACTTTAAGACTTACTTTTTGTATTACAAAAATAAGGCAAACTAATATGAAATCGAAAAGTATTTAAATAAATTCAAAAAATCTCCACTAATATATATGCTACCATAACTGTCGATAAGCCCGATAATTTGTCGCATTGCCATTTAGTTTAAAAATGTCTCAAGTTAAGTGAACGAAAGTCAACAAAGCCAAATCTTAACTAGCATGTACCGAAAATCAGGGTGGAATCTAAAGTGCAACAGCCATTTGTCATTTGTGTAATTATTGTGCCTATTCATATCGAAGCCAATTTAATTTGTGCACTCATTTTGCCTACTCTCACATTTGCTCACAACTCGTAAATTGGTCATGGGCCAAATATCGTTTTCAAACATCAATCTATTTACAATTCCAACACAATTAACACATATCATCTGTATGCGGGTGTGAGAGTGGCTGTATGTGTGTGCGTGGATGCTATGTTATTCATAAAGCAATGCTCACAAGTGCAAAGACTGATAGTCTGGTGCAAACCTTGGGCAAACATTTGTAATTTCAAACAAGCTCGTAAATAAAACAACTGGAAATGCATTGGCAGCAAATTAGCCAGTAACAGAAACAATTGAGCAGCCAAACAACTGCCATGGATCGTAATGCTGCTGTTTCAGATGGCTTTATAACTGGCACCTAGCTTAATGATTCAACACCCAAGCGGATAAGAGCACAAGTGCAAAGTGCTCTAATCGAGAGTTGTTGACTTGCATATGCTCTGTAATCAGGTCTGCAGTATCTCATGCTTCTATAAACAGATTTACTTATTAGATGTGCTTTACTTTGTTTTAGTTTTCAGTTTTCTACTCATTGAACTGGATTTTCCAGATTTTATATAACGAATTTTTTAAATGAGTCTGAAGCTCGATCGCAAATGGAAAACTGGGAAATCCAGCCTGTATATTTTATGGAAGGTCCAAAACGTACTACAAAAAATAAACTCAGCCAGATACTTCCCTCTATTTAAACTATTGTAACTATCTTCAACACTTTGCCATTTAAATTTCCGTTCTTTGAGAAAATTTTGAAAATTAGGTTTAGACATGCGATACGTATGGAGTTTAACGCTCAAAGGTCTATCTTTAATTATATTATTATTGGCACTCAGAAAAATAAGAATAAATATGTTATGCAACCTCGGACTAGGCATGTTTTAAGCATTATACACTTTGTTAGCCCTTTATGGGATTCAGGGAATTCAAAGGCCAATACGTGCACAGTTCTAAAATTCTAATAGATGGCCATAGATAGATACATATATTTTAGTGCAGCGTTCCGTCAAATAATTTCAAATCCACAAGCATATTGATACGGTCATCTAACTAAATTGGAGCCAATGTTAGTGTGTGTGTGCGTTTGTGTGTGTGTGTGTGTGGGTTGATGCCACATTCATTATACAGAATACGCGCCAGCTGGCAGGCCATTGTCGATGCGGCCTGCAGGAGAGTTGGCAGCCCGCAACTGTTATTAAACATTAATTTATGCATTACTAGACCGCTTAAATTAATCAGTAAATTGCATGCTGCACATCCGAAGCACACACACATACGCACTGTCCTTAGGGACAGTGGCCATCAATACCGAATGCTCAAAACAAATTAAATTGCCAAAAAAGCTGTTTGCTATTTGACAGTCCCTTCACTTATTTCATATTTCTGCTTTTGTTTAAGTTTTAACGTGCAAAATTTAAACCGGGTCAAATCTTATGCAGATTCCATGAAAAATTGAATACTTAAATGCAATGTGAATGCAGTGCCTGATTTTAAATATATTAAAACAATTTTCAAAGTTTATGTTTATGTGTTTTTATTAAAACTATTAAGTACATGGTTTTCTTTTTTATTTATAATATTTTAGCCAATTCAAAAGTTGTTAAGTATCTGACAATATTCTTTAGATGATGAAAAAACACTACAAATAATAGTCTTAATGAATCATTTTGAACCGAAAAGAGTTTTAGGCATGATTTACTCTTGAAAAATCGCAACACTAATACAAGCTTATTTCAAAGCTTGGCAAGGCCAAGGAACAAACTTGATTTGCCATTCGTTGTAAATGCATTTCTCCTTTATGCAATTTCTGCTTTGTGCTCTTTCTATTTAGCTTCAACAGAGTAAGAAATGAGGAGGAATATCAACATTCTTTCATTGCAATCAGCTTTTTAATGCACAACTCTGCTCCGTTACTAACCAAAATGCCTCAAGGCTTATAGGATCTTAGCCCTAAATATTCTTCAATTAAATCAATCGATCTAGCGATTGCCGACAGATTTCCCCACAATTATTACTTTTTACTGCACTCGCTCTTTTTGATAATCAATCAATGCTATCGATAATATAAGATAATTAGGGCGGGCTATTCAAATTAAAATTTCACAGCTTGCTTATAGTGTTTTTGAAAAAATATGTTTTGAGCAAACATACTTTTAGAATTTCTAGTAATAGACATATTGTAAAATGCTCTCGATATCGGGTTAATTATATATCGATACAAAGCTATCGATAGCTATAATCGGCGCTTTATTAATAGTTACTTATGATATCATTGTCGTTTCTATCAATACTTTTGGTATCGTTGTTATCGATCCCTAACGTCTTAGCTAACGATACCAGTTTAATCGCCATCCATAGTTGAACAGCACTAGAAGGTTAATCCAAAGTGTGTTCTGCCTGCACTCAGTCATAAGATCATGTATACACATTTTTTCTTTTTATCAATGTTTATTGTATTGAATCAAAAATAGTTACATTTTTATTAAAACACAGTTGGCTCAGGTGATATTTACAAATGTACAAGTGTTATTCAGCTTATTTGCCTATTACACCAAACATAATAACCAGCTAATTGTTTTTGTTCTACTTGACTCTCGTCTCGTTTCAGGCCAACATTTGAAGATAGCGGACAAATTGCATTCTCGCTTTAGGTAAGTCAAGCAAATGCGCTCACAAGTGTGCAATTTATCAAAGGGAAATTTATAGAAGAAAAAAAAAAAACAACTTTTCTAGCTGGTAAGCAATTTGAATTACCTGCTCAGAGCATAGATCAGGTTCAATCGTATTCCTAGCTCTGGTGCCTCTGATACAGTTTCGTACGGTCAATTTGGTTGTTATGCTGCCATTTTATTGTACGGCTTCTGTCAGTCTGTCGCACGTCAATCCCCCAGTCCGTCAGTCTGTCAGCTCGTCAGCTGGCCCCTGCATCCACCTGCGCCTTAGCACCCCGTTTCGGCTCGGGTGAATGATAAATGGCTGGCACTGCGGTTGTAGGCAGCATTAAGCGTTGTTGAAGCACCGCAGATTGCAATTGTTGCCCGCGCACGCCCATGACCCCTCCTCTCTCCTCCGCCTTTGTAGCCACCACCCACCCATTTACTAGCTGATTTTTTTATGCGCTTCTCTTGCACTCGTCAAAGTTTTGCGGGCTGCTTTTTGTACTGCACAAGGCTTTGGGAGCTACGTTTCTCTGTCAGACAGCAACTTGTAATTTGTAATGCTCCGAGTGGCAAGCTGTTCTTGTTGAGTTTGTTGTTGTTGTTGTTGTTGTTGTTGTTATTGTTGTTGTTGTTGTTGTTGTTGGTGGTGGTGGTGCTGTTGCAGTTACCGGTTAACAGTTACCAGCTATCAGTTACTGCTAGCCAGGTCATGATTTTGAAATGAAATGCATTTGTGAGCTCTTGCGCTGATTTAATGATGTTTTATAGAAGCGCCTCAAGGAACTTTGAATGAAGGCACACTTCAAGTGCCAGCTACGCCAAACATTTTTCTCTCGCTCCACTACTACCTATTCCATTACTTCAAATTTATTTAAGCGCGAATTTTGCCGAAATTATACCTTAGATATTTATTATTAACGAAGTTTTTTTAAGGTAAAAAGTAAATACTTTAAAGGTAAGTACCCTGCTGAAAATACGTATCAATCTATGTCGACGCTAGGCTGTCATTAAGGCAGACAGACATCTAGTACCACAAAAAGCAAAGCAAAAAGCTTTAAATCTAGTCCAACGCCAGTCAATCGTAATCATCTGGGTATCTGGACAGTTTACCTGATGGCTGTGGCCACTGGGGAACCTAGCTCTTATTTTCAAATCTGCAAGATGACCGCTCGAAAAGATTTTTCAAAGCCATTTGGCATAACCTTTGTCATGGCTCAATTTACACAACGGTTCAAGGTGTCACTCAAGATACCAAACCTGAATAAGTGTTTAAAGTAAAAATTACAACAACAAATAATGCAAATACATATTTTGAACATACTTGCACCCTGTCCCTTTTCGTCCAATCTCTTCTCTTCAAAATTGCACTTCAATGAACTTAACAAGTTATGACCAAATGTCATTTGACGTGCAACACGCACTCATTAATTTTTCCCTTTTTTATTTTATTTCATCATATTTGTTAAATTTGCTCACTTTCATTTAATTTGCGCATCTAATTAGGGCCAATTATGTGATTAAAAACAGCCTAAAAAGAAAAACATTTCGTAAAAACATAAGCCTATACAATTTGTTGTTAGTTTTTAAATGGGTATCATAATTTATGCAGGAACCAAACATTTTCCGAGCCGCATAATAAACGACAATTAATTGTAATATCAGCTACAAAAAATTATAAAACAACAAATAAGTGCTCAACTATGAAATATCCTGCAATCGAGCGTTTTGTCTCTGTAGCTTCAAACGAACTTAGCAGGTCGATATCAAAAACATTCATTGAGCATTTTAACTGCCTAAGGCAGAATTTCGACAATTGCTGACAAAGAATGTTCGGTGCTAGAAGAGTACTTATACATATTTTCCATTCCTTTCTTAAAGTCTCTTGCGTTCATACATACGGACGGACGGACGGACAGACATGGCTAGATCGACTCGGCTATTGATGCTGATCAAGAATATATATACTTTATGGGGTCAGAGAAGCTTCCTTCTGCCTGTTAAATACATTTGGATTTTGCACAAATACAATATACCTTATACCCATTTTTAATGGGTTCAGGGTATAAAAATAATATGTGACATGCCTGATGTATGTGTAGATAGGGCGTATTCAGAGTTGTCCACATTCATACATATGTATATTGAAATAATGACAGCAAAAATATTGTGATGACTTTTTAATTAAAAATAACAAAAATGTTGTCAAAGCGTCGATAGCAATTGGCGGCAACTCATAATTGCTAATGAATTTTATCAGAATAAATCTTATTAAAATTGCGGTCCAATTTTGGTCAACAATGTGTCAAACAATTTGGCATAACAAATAGTATTGGATTTTTATTGTTGTTATTTGATTAGGGCGTTTTGCACTGCCAGTTTGTTGGGGATTGCTACTCACGGGGTGTGTGCAAACGCACCATAAGGTCACATGTGGGGATCAGGGGAGCCAAATTTTTTGCCCTGCGAAAAGAGTTCTGAGTTTCCTGCATATTTGATTTATTCTGCTTCAAAGTAAGCTTCGGATAATCACGTAGAACATGCTTAACAGCTAGTAATCGCCTTAATTCGGATTTAAAAGAGCCGGATGTCTCTTAACTTGTGCAGGGACCAATAAGCTCTTTAGGGCGACTGTCATCATGTCAAACAGCATTTTTACCGCCGCACTCTTGACCCTCCATCCCTTTCAAGCTTCGGCAGCGGTACTTTCTACTATACTTTCCTTATTAGAGCTTTTGAGGACACCCAGCACGGCGCACAGAAGGTTTAATTAAAGGGCCGCGTTTTCCATAGTTTCTCAAAAATCCATTAGAGAGTTAGTCTGAGTTGTTTCGAAAGCTGTTAAATAAGTTCGAACAGTTTCACTATTTCGATCAATTGGAGATATCAAAATTACCCTTTGTGAGGAAAACGACACTGAGATAGGATTTTCATAAATTTTATAAACCTTCCTTTACCGATTTTATAAAGGCCAAAAAAAAAAAAAATGCGGATACTTTTTTGCAAAATTCATTCGAGACATTTTTCACATCTTCAGAAATCACACTATTCTGCCGACCTCTCATCCTAGGCAGATAACCAACATCATTCATGTAAAAAAATTTTGAACGTGATTTATTATTACAGAATATCCACTCCTCTAAGTGGAAATGGCGACTCAAGCTGAAATAAGAAAATCTAAATGGGCAAAGCCGGGTAATAGCCGATAGTGCCACATAAATTTGGCGCTGTGCAAATCTGCTTAGCTTTACGAAATTTGCATCATTCTGAATGTACGCTGACATATTACTCATACGTAATGTTGACAGCCGCTGGTAGCTTCAGATGATTGGCAAATATGTTGACACAATGCCGCTGTCAGGGCCATTGCCCAGTTATTAGCTGACTTTGGCTTTGGTTTTGCGCTTCTCTTTTTTATTTCTCTTGGCCAAAAACAAATGGACGTTTTAGTTTCAACCACAAACTATGCTGGCCCCAGCACAAACATATCCATACTCATACATACATATAAATGTGTATCTCTATGTATTTTTTACTGTGCTTATGTGTGTGTGTGTGTGTGTGATTTTTGGGTAGTTGCCATGAGCTCGCCATCGTTGTGCTGTTTGCTGTTGGCAAAGGTTCTAATTTTTCAAACCACAAAATAAAAAACACATTTCTTATTACAAATCGAGCAACCGGCGTGCCAAAAAAATATGCTACAATTCTCTTCTCACACAGAACTATGAACCAAACACACCCACTGCCCCGCATAAGTTACCCTATCGCTATGCTTTATATGCAAGTAGGTAATACCCTTTTCATAAGCATTCACGAAATTTGCCAGCGAGGTTACTTAACCCTGAAATTTTGTTATTGAATCTTAAATTATTCTTAGATCTAGCGAGGAAGGAATAATAAATCATTTACCCCAGATTCATTTTGAAAAGAAGCTTTATTTTGATTTCATAATTATTATAGTAGTAATTTTTTTCAAATGATCATAGGCAAATGTTAAATAAATATCATAAATGGAACCCTGGATAAGAACATGGTGTTATATAGAAAAATGTTTTATTATATATACCATACCAAAAGGAATGTGGAGAAAAACAGAGTATTCGCTGTATGCCATTAAGATGGATTGATTTTCTTGCTTGTTATTTTCATTTTGTTTTTGATTTCTTTTTTGTTTTTTTGTTGTTTTTTCATTTCATAAGTGAAATGGGCGACCTCCAAGCAACCAACTGACGCACTTATTTTGCGCTTTGAATCCAATCACGTACCAATTTCCAAATTTAACCTTTTTGAGCCGGGCCGGCGGTCGTGCAGCAATTGGTGGCAATTGAACTTGGCGCTGTGTGGCAGAAGCTGTGGCTGAGCCCTTGCCCGCTGCCTGGGCCTGGGAATATGTCTGTGGTGTGGTGCCAGTCGCTGGTGCCAATAAAAACCATTTGCCAGAGTGAAATTTATATGGCCGCGTCAATAAAAATAGAAGGAGTTGGCAAACGATACGTGGCAGGGGCAAATTGCTCAGAGGGCAAACAGTCTTTGAACCGTTTCAATTGACCAATGGCCTGCCCCTCGTCCTCTTCCAGTGCCGCACCTGCGCCGCTTTTGCCTGATTGCGGGCAGCTGTGAGTTGGGCGCTCCCTTAGAGCCTATAGTTGAATTTAGGCCACACTTTCTATGGCTACACTTTGTTGCTGCCATTTTGCTATATTAATTTCGAAAGCTGCGTTATTTGAGCGGCCGCACGAATTTGGCCTCAACTTACCCCTGACATCTACCAAATCCTCGACTGCCCTTCCATCCCAGCCTTCGAGGCACAGTTCTTTGCTGTCTATTTGGCCATTCGATGCCTGTAAGCGACACCATAAAATATTGAACGTGTTGAGCACACGCATTTACACACACATACTCGCAGAGTGCACTCCCTGACTCACTGACCTCGCCAAGCTTTGACCCCATCGATAGGCCCTCTGTTTGTCTCTTTTACGCTCTTTGTGCATCTC